CAGTGACCAGTAAGTGATCACCAATTTACTTCTTTTCACTCTCTTACACATTGACCATATTCTGGAACGACCAATTAACGTTATCATTACTGATTCACTCAGATAAGGGGTCTCACAAAGAAAAGCTTAATGATTATTGCCCAAAAATAAATGTTTTTACTTGTTTTTTTTGTTTGATTAGTATAGAAATGCAACATAAAATGTCAGGAAGGGGGCCGTGGTAACTATAACGTACTGCAGAGATTATGGGAAGTTATTAAAGAAAATATATATTTCGTCATTTCCTGTGAGTTAAAAAAGTTTTTTTTCTCTGAAACAACTCAGCATTCGTTTAAACTTCAAAGAACATTGGAGACTCACTCAATTCTATCCGTGAATAACTTCAGCTTTCTCGATAAATTCAAAGGTCCATATTGGTTATTTGTGTTTCTATAAAGTCCATTGGACCAGGCCATTCGTTCTCTTTCTAAAAGTAAGTGAACTCCTTCTTCGTATGGGATTAGACATTCAGAAATCGCGTCACGTAAACAAGCCCATGTATATCCGGAGCAAATGGTATTTCCGTTCCACATACCACCTAGAACTGACCAATTTGTCTGTCGAGTCAACCAAGTCAGCTGACGATAATAGGCACCGGCATGCAAATGTCGTTCAAGCAAGTTCAGGAGAGCAGATTCGGAACAGCCGAGAGTAAGGGAATCCAGATGATTGATGGCATACACGAATCGACCGAACAGAATCTCCTGTTTTTGATTGCAGTGTGTCTCCTCTGTATCGGATGGACTATCCCAAATGAACCGTCGTGATGGGATTCCAAGATGCATGAGTAAAAACTCCTGAACGAAACCACATCGATTGATTAGAATTTGCTTTGAAGTGGGAACATCCGTCAATTCCAAGTTCTGCAGTTGTTCAGGGTTAGGGGGGTATTGTAATCCGAAACGGGTTTGGTATATGTTCAAACAGAGAGGTACAGCGATCGGCCCCAGTTCGCTCAAATACGGAGCTTCAAAAGAGGACAACGGTCTGGAAAAATAAATTGCAACCGGTTAGCTGATGTGCTAGTCCCGATGGCAAGGTCTAGTTTCGGTTGGAAACAGGCATCAGTTCAAGTGAAAGATACAAGGAGCACTGGGGTACAACTTGGAAGGATCTTTTCCATCTCGTATTTCAGATAGTACCAAGCTCATTATCTTGATCCACAACTCTAATATTATTTTAAAGGAGCAAAACTGGAGTAATTCAACTCCAGCCGGACAAATATACCCGAATGTCAATGGCGCAAAACGAACATACCTGATGAATGATTTTAAAATGAACAAACGCGGAAAATTCTATTGCATCCATAGTTTGGCAAATACTTTCTAGTTAGACAACGCAGCAAGGTACGATAAATATGATATTAAATAAGTAAACAATAATAAATGTTATAAATCGCAGAATCATAGAATTATATTTCGATGAAGGGGATGGGATACCTTGGACGCCTTTAATAAGCTCAACTCATCTGAAACGCATTTTATATAATCAGCCGGAAACCGGACCCAACCTGTGGTTTGCATTGATATGTGATGCATTGCATGCATTCCCTAAGGCCAACTTTTCTTACTGTATTTGATACTCATTAACTACTCAATAATTTGTAGGCGTCTAGTGTGCTGTGTGGAAAAATGGGCATTCCAGCAGTAGTGGTCTAATCCAAGCGCATGAGATAAGGAAAATTCGACCAATGACCAACACTACTCGTCTACAAAAGCAAGCTATCGCGAACCTCCGATCATTTATAGAGTGCCAAACTAGATGAAGCATACATCATTATTGAAAACACACTAGGCATACACTGAATGAGAGGAGGTCACTGTAATTGCAAGTCGGACAGTGTATTTTCCAAGTTTGACTTCAGATTCGTGTGGGTAAAAGCAAGAGAACAACTGAGACAAAAACCACGGGTCGTTGCGAAGAGTGTGAGTGAGTATCATAGAAACTGTTCACTGCACATTGTGAACTGATTATTAAGATGATTCCCTTGGAAATTTTTGCTGCACAAAACTCACGTGCCACGCTTCTTCCAAGAAAATCGTTTCAGTGATTGTTTGACAGAGGGGATCATCTGAGAATCCAATCTCATTGTTGCCAAAGAGTCCGTGGAAGCGGTTGGACGTTCACGACGATAATGCGGAAACAATGTGTCCGTGACAACACTCGATAGGCCAGGAGTAATATCCTGCAGCAAACCCACAACAATCTGCAGAGCATTTTGCTCATCCACAGCCATGTGACCATCTACAGAAGAACCAGCATACCCTTCGTCTTCCTTGTCACCTGAATGACGCTAAAGATGCATAAATTTAGCGACTCATCACTTGTTTTACATACCCATGTTCGCATATGTCTGAAGGTGGGAAAGCTAAAGAAAGGATCAACAGAAAGAGATAGGCTATTAATAACTGCCAGGATAACGCATAGGTAAATATATATATATATATATATATATATATATATATATATATTATTCATGATATTGATAGAACAATTCTTCAGAAATTTCAACCACCAACCGATATTGATCTACATTGACAAGCTAGTTGAAATATTTTTCAATATAAGAATTTTATTTTTCAAAATAGCATAAATCTCATCCTGGTGCGAATAA